GTAACAAAATATCACCGAAAGCACCATCTAGCGTCCGATAGTTTACTCAAACGGTAACGGTTATTGCCTGCTCGCTGGGTTGCATCACAGCAAGTGTGCAATAAACTGATGACTCTTCATACCGCGCTGCAGGTGCACAGCAGACTGCAACACTCCTTTCATCTTGTTCATCCCACGCAATGTCAAGAAGCAAGTTACGTGTTTCCGGTCCTGTTTGAAACGCGCGCTTCGATGAGAAATATTCTAGTAATGGTAGTTGTACTACTATAGTAGATGTGGGCCAGTGTACAGAAGGTTGGAGGCAACAAAATAAGGAAAAGCAAACGAGCGAAACCAAACGAAGTCGATGTCCACGGTTCTAAGGGGGCGATGCCGATGCTTTGATGCCGACGCAGCGCCCTCGATATTAGGGTCGTTACGGCGTCCATTCAACGACCCGAAACGAGTCCCTTGGAGGACTCCCAACAGCGTTGCGATGTTACCTATGTCGTTTCGATAACGTTCGATCTTCTGTCCGTGTTTTTAGAGGAAAGGACGATCCTCCGAAAACACGCTGTAGGGTGTGAAAATTCTTACACTTGAATAAACATTCGGGACCTTTAGAACAAAAAATATTTGTATAAAGATTTTGTTGTGTTGAAAGTTATAAATTATGCAATGTTTAATGAAGGCATGTGAGAGACAAAAACTTTGGGTTGCATCTTTCCAAAATTGGGAGGAGTGCTTTGTTCAGGACATCCATTTACGCCTAGCACGTAAATCCGCGTTCCGTTCACCGTCCACAATAATTATACCGGCAATACCTTAATGCACATGACAACCCACGGCTACACGTGCGGTTCCGGTAGTTATATCAAAAGATTAATCCGGAAAATCTGTGCAGAAAACTGTAATCATCAGGATTGCATTGGAAATAAAACAAGAAAATTTTAAAAAATTAAAAATTTTATTTTTAGAAAAAATATAACAATATGATAATAAATAAATTTTTTTTAATTGATAAATTTAGTAATTTTATTTTTTATATTTTGAGTCCGATTCTGTATAATTTTTTGCAACAGTTGTGCTGTATTTGCTGTTCAGCTAACAAACGTGCAGCGAACGCAACAAAAACGTTCGGTTACTGGTCGGTTGCACGGCCGGCCGGTTGGAAACAAAAACGAGCATAGAATCGACGACCGCTGCCGCCGCCGGAAACGCCGACTGCCGCTAAAAACTCCACACAGCACCTAATTACCGTAAAAAATCACTTCGACTCGCGTACTTGCAAGATTAAAACCGTCGAGATCAATTGCGCCAACAATACCAAATGTTAAACAATTTCCACCGTAAATTAATTGAATTGAACATAGTAGCCAAACTTAATGTTTATTTAATTATTTGTTGATATTTGCTTAATGTCAGATATGAAATTTTGCGTGTGATGCAATGATTCAATTATTTATCATCGTATTTAATTAATTATATATATATAATGAAATGCAAACCGGTTGTGCGCTCGACGACAACTTTGGCCGGGTTGGGATGCACCGATGTTGACTAATGCATTGCGCGGAGCAACGCGGCGAATTAATTATTGCCTAAGCAACGTTGCACCGCCCCCGCACGTCGCTATGTCTTGTTGCATGTGCGCGCCCGACGTTACATCATGGCAAAATGAATTATTTATTAATTTAGATTGATTTATGTTTGTATTTTCTGATGTGCACTTTTCACAATCAATAATTTTCTTCTTCAATTAAAATTTAATAAATTACGTTATATATTTACATCTTGTGGGTTATCTTTACGATGCGTTTTATTATTTTAAGCAATATTTTTATTTGTTAGCGTTTTATGCGAAAATTTATTATTGAGAGGATTTGTGCACGTTCAGGATAGCCCACGCGCAAGGTTGTAATTTATGCAGGAAATAAATAATTCATAGGAAATAATAATTCACAATTTAATAGTAGTAATGGCATGCCGCGTGGTGGAGGCGCCGGGCGTCGTGAATCCGGGGCCATTATAACGGGCTCGCGGAGAGTCTAATTAATTGCGCCGAACAATAATTGCAAGTTTAATGCGATTTACAGCTGTACGAGTATACGTGAGACCAAAATTTTAATACAGGGTCATGAAAAACTCAAAAAATTAAAATTTTCCCAAAAAGTTTTAGAATTCAAACTAATTTATTAAAAAGTTAATTTAATATAATTTTTATGTTATTATTTATGAGTTACACTGTATAGTCTTGCATGGAAGCCAGTAGAAGTCCAAGATATTTGTAGGCGATAAATTTTGAAAGCTCCGACGACACATTACTTGCACTCGGCTGCTGCGGCAAGCGAAGTGGATGCGTTATTCAAGCTTGCACCTTGGTTTCGACTTTGCTCGCTATTTCCACCGAGGCCAAGGCAGTAAGGCGGCGAGTCCTGCGCTGTTAATATTAATTGAACACTCACCGCAGACCGAGCACGGAACTTGTAGCTTCTTAACTTGAAACATTTGCTGTCGACCGGCGCCTCCACCATTTCTTTGGATGAATGTTTTAACGTTTTTTTTATCAATTAACCTTTGCCATTTCAGTCGACATCAAAATAAGAAAATTAGAAAATGTATTATGTGGTGTTAAACACCCCCGCAATTACCCACGTGACATTTCAAATGTATATTTGTTTTTCGACGAGAAGGAATTTATTTTATTATTGCGTATCAAATTATGTCAAATATCAAAATGTCAAATTAACATCAAAATTTTAATATTTTGCAAAAAGTTTTAAAAAAGTTTTAAATAAATAAAATAATTCATAAATAAAAATTGCTGGAACATATTTACATTCGCAATTTTGTTTATTCAGAATTTATTTGATTATTAAAAATAAAACAGCATTTTATTACATGTATAGAATATATAACAATTTATCCTATCACAATTTCCAAATAATAATTTGAACCCAAGCATTATTATTAATTTTACACAACATTGTTTTATGGATTTATCGTTTTTCTGCCATTGGTATTATTAAAATTTCCGCGCGCATTGATAAATGCGCAAAATGTACGTTGAAATCGAAGATGGCGGCGATAAACGACCTGCCGATAAACCATTCCACAGCGATAAGTGAACGATAAACGTTTTAAATCGCGCGTTTAAGAGCCATCTTCACCCTTCACCCCTTTATCCACACGTTTCGTTACTTTTCCCCAGTGTGAGTGACCGAAGTCATTCGATTCAATATCGCAAACCCGTGAAATGTACTTATCTCGTTGGTGCTGGAATTTTATGTACAGTGTATATGATCTCGATTGGTTGACCAAGGGTAGGAAGCTGGGTGACATCCGAGTAGCACTCGTATCTCTACTATATTACGAGTGAGTGTGTGTGTGAGTGAATTGGTGGATCGAATTCAGTGCTTGAGGAGAAGTTATATCGTTATATTAATAAAGTGATGATTACGAGGAGTAACGGTCATGGCGGTTAGCGATGATGACCGTTCGGAAATGTATAGGGGATGTGCCAAGCATCGACCATAATCGAACTCCGCCTTTTGTATGTTCATCGCTTTTACAATTCAGTGAAGCAAAAAACGTAAAAAAACATTTTTTAGACAAAAAAGTTTAATTTTTATTATGGGAGCTCCGCCTTCTTATACTAACCAATAAACGCATGCGCAGTAATAATATTTTGATTTATTCAATATTTATGAAATATTATAACATAAAAATTAAATCAATATTGTGATATCACTTTCAAGAATATGATTTAAAATTCTGCTTCGCTTTTTTTTTATTATTTTGACAAATGCGCAACGATAATGTTTACACGAATCGCTCTCATAATATCGGTTGCCTTCCTGCTTTCGCCGTCCGCTGCCGCTTGTCGGCGGCTGTTGGCGGCGGCCGCGCTGATGATAAATTATGCATGCGCCACGACGATGAAGCTTCGCCACGCCAGTGGTCTGCCGATTCTCAAAACCGTCGCCGCCACCGCAGCCGCCGCCGCTGCCGAACAATAAAATGCGTCGTAAAAAATAAAAGGTGCAAAAAAAGCGTCCACTACATTTACATCCGCAGGACTTCCATTAGCGGTGAAGATTTTCATATCTCAGAGGAAAATATAAAATATGGAATTTCACATAAACCAGGAATGAAGAAAAAATGTTGACAAAAAGCAGCTTTGACATTAATTTTTTGTCTTTATTATAAAAATATTAAAATTTGTATTATTTGCAATCAGCTTAATGGTAATTGTTCTTTTGAAGAACCTTGGCATTTGTAGATAAAACTCAAAATAAATTAATATAAGTGTCCTTGAACTAAATAAGGAATGTTGGGATGTCGGGATGTTGAGATGAATGTTGCTTGGTGTCAGACGAGCGTTCGCCTTTTGGGGGATTATTTGCGACGCGTCGCTTGGTTTCTTCCGCAGTGCGATAAAAAAGGACTTAATAATAAAGCTTTCAGAATTATTACACAAATATATTTCTTTGCACGCCCTCATCATGACGCATTTATTTTCGGCGGAAAATAGTTGAACCTGGTAATAATACTAAATATTATAAATATTACTAGCAATAAACAAGCAGAAGTAAGGTTTAAGGTTCAGGATCAAAGCGCACGTGGCAACACTCGATCTTGCTTTGTTTCGTTTGGAGTTTTCGTGCCGTTTTTCTGTCTCTCCTTGTTTTTGAAGTAGCTAAGCTAGGGCGCATTTTTCCTCGGAGGGTATTTTTATTTATAGTTTTCGCTAAAACGCCACTTGCCGCGCTGTGCAGAGAGAAAGCTTTCGTTTTGCGTTCAGCAGCACTTGAAAGTGCTATATGATGCTGAAAGTGTGTTGGTGTGAGGCCAGACGGAAGAAAACTACCCTCCATCTGTGCGAAATGTATGGGCTCAACCCGTTTCTGTGATGGATACACGTCGTTTTTCTTTTCGTATATATAAAAGTTTTCCAAAATAGATATAGATATTTTTATACTGCAAATAATTTTAATTTAATTTAATTAATTATATTGCAGGTGACGTGGATAAGACATAGAGACCTCCACCTACTGACGGTGGGCCGTCACACCTATACGTCCGACCAACGCTTCAGCAGCATCCACAATCCGATGACGGAGGAGTGGACACTGCAGATTCGCTACCCGCAGCGTCGGGACAGCGGTATCTACGAGTGCCAGGTGGGCACGACGCCACCCCACGGCGTCCTGATGACCCTCAGCGTTGTCGGTGAGTTGAGCCATCTCTGAAATTGAATAGATCCATCAGCATCACATCACATCCCATCACCACATTTGCATCCCCCTTTAAAATCAGTCTTAGTAGATCCCAAGGCACTTATCCTCCCTATTCCCACATCACATAACAAATTGCACTCATATATAACTATTGTATTTCTACTTTTCCGATAAAGATATTTAAGGGATCTATAATTTGTCAAAGGTACAATTGCATTTCTTGACAAGATTTAAATTGGTACGTGTGTGCATTAGGTAAGACGCACTTTTGAAGGGTGCGAAGAAATGGAAAGCGTAGGAGAGGGTGTGAGCACGGTGTAGTTGTGCTTCGCTAGGCACTCGCGATAAATCTTGGTCGGGCATTGTGTGACAAGCAGAGAGTTTGTGCGTGTACCGCCACCGCTGCCGCCACTGCCGCCGCGGTGACACCGGAGCGTCAGCTGGTTTACGGAGTACAATCACTCATCTCCGGTTTTGTTGTTGTTTCTATACAACCGTTTGCATAAACCCAACAAATCTCTAAATCCATGCAGCAAATACTATTTAAGATCTTTTAGCACAACAACCTGTATATCAAGGGTTTTAATCATGTCTTCCGGAGCTTGGGAGCGGCTCGGGTGTAAACTTTGGGTAAAACGTTTAGGAAACTGCGCCTACACCCACCTACCTCAAAAACCTGTAATGTAACTAAGAAAAATGCTTCAATTGTAAAATTTGTAACGGAATAATAAGCATGAGCCAAGAAAATCTGGCAAAACATGACCATTAACTTAAAACACGACGTAGATTTTCAAAAACAAGAAATAAAAACATTATGCTTCTTATGTCTCAGTCACCGTTAGCCGCATCTCATGCAGAAGAATGAGAAATCGTAAAAACAGAAAAAAAAGTCAAAAACATAATAATCGTACTCGAAATGAGCATGTAGCCAGATAGAGCATTACTTTCTTTGCTAACTTGTTTCTTTATATCCGAAAAAGTTATAACAAGAATATGGAAAGCAGAGAATGTGCGGAGAAGATGGCTTTTTCATGAGCTCAGGCCTGGGTGTTGTTATTATTGCTATGTTGATGATTATGAGCGTGCAAAACACCAAGAAGAGTGCTGCCCGCGCACAGAAATGTAAAAATTCAGGCCGACAGATATAAAAATGAGAACGTATACACTACCACACTAGCAAATTGCGGATGTGCTAAAAGTACATCTAAAATGACACTTCTAGTGTAAAAACTCAAAAAATAAAATAAAAAAGCTCAACACTTGATAGGGCTGTGATAAACAAGCAAAAATAAAATGATTTTTTGGTATAAAAAACATACACCGTCTGTTACCCATGCGTACAGTTATAAATATTTATTTTCCTGACGACGACGACGCGTAGGAGTTAAAGTTATTGCGTTACTTCGTCCTGAGCTTTGAGCTCAATGTCCCCACGTCTCTTTCCATCCTCCTCGGGAATTTTGAGTTTTCAACTCTGTTTCTCTCCTTAAGGGATGATTCTGCATGCGCTGGCTGCGGGTGTATACGCGTGATCCTTGGATTTCTTGGTGTGTATTTTTTTTCTTTGTGAGCGCAAGGGCGCTTGTTGGTTTTAATACGAATGTAAAATTGCGAAGAGTTATCGTCGCAATATTCTTTCGCCGCGCCTCGAACCCCTCAAGGCACTGAAAAATCATCAGCGACAGAATTTTTTAGTGATGTTTATTGTTTGTACAATTTTTTTCATATTTACTGTAATATTTTAGCATTTTACGTGATATTACGCGTTAAATCTAAGAAAAATTGAAAAATTTTTCCTCAAGTTATTGAAATATGGCGTAAATATTTATTTTATATAAAATTCAACTAATTTAAATGTATAAATATCTTAATAACTACATTACTAACATAAGACACTTTGTAAATTTGTAATTTTGTAGTTTTGTGTTTGTTAACTGCTCTATAAGCACTTTTATGCAAGTCGAGTTGCCAAACGTCGAAAAAACTCGTTGCAAAGCTATTTTCAACTAGTTTTTCATACCTAGACTTTGCAAGACTTTGAAATTACTAGATCTTCTTTTCGGTCGCGCGACGCTCGCTTCCTGATTAAGTAAGAACTTTGCGTTTGTTGACTGGTCGGCAAGCGCTGTTAAACTGCCTTCGAAATGCACCGTCGACCGTCCAACCGCCTCCGATTTGTGCGACAGATAAAAGTTTTCTTATTTAAAAGTTTGTTATTTATTTGCGGATTCTTCACGGATTCCTAGTGCCAACGAAGAGTAATATTAAGAGATTTTATTTGTTCCATGAAAAAAGCTCAAAATGCAAACATTGTATTTATTAGTTCACACCAATATTACTAGATGCCGCCACAGAAGTTGAATTCAAAATTATTTTTTCTTAGATTTAACAGTAATCATCGAAAATGTTCTCGATGGTCCAAGTAATATCCTTAATGCTTCTTTTAAAATGTTTTCTCCGCATCCTAACATTAGTGCTGTCATTACGTTCCGTTTCCTTCGCATTCTCATACTCGTCTTCTTCTCTTTTCGTTTTGCATGCTTTTTTTCTGGCTTGTGTCGTCGTCGGAAAGTTGTACGCCATTGAACCATCGATATAATCGTTTCGAACGTAAAATGATTCGTCCCGGAACGGTTTGCTGCGTTTTATTTATATGTCAATGTAACTCGCACGCCGTTGGTTGCTATTCCCGTTTTCTGCTCCTCTGTGTCGTCAAAAAGCGGAATGCAAATTCAATCCAACGTTTGCCCGGCGCACCAGCGTTGTATTTTTTGTATTTTATTTTTTTTAAAGAGACGAGATTAAAATATATACATGTGCGATCTTTTTGCTTGGTGTAGCAGAGTTACAAATGAGGATAAACGTAAAAAAAACATTAAGGTAATGCAACACAATTTAAATTTAAAAGAAATAAAGATTAAATTGAATGTTCTCAATAAATTAATTACCACTTTAAAATTATTAGACAATTCATTATGCATTGTCTGAGTTTGTAATTGGAAATCGGGCACAAGCGTTGTACCCAAATGCCCGGCGCCTCCGCCAAAAAGTAACACTAGATTCTCGAGCTGCGAGCTGGTCGCACGGCGAACTTTACCAATTAATACCGATTATTGTTGCAGGTTAAACGAGCCAAGAGCCAAGCTTTCGTGCTCACACTTGGTATGCTCAAGCGGGCACATAGATTATCCTCGCGTTCGAGTTCTAGCCAAACCGAGCATCCACCGCGCTGCAACTTAGCGGTATTGCCATTATGCGATTGTGCGAGTTGCTTTTCTTGTTTTACAGCTTTGATTCAGGTGTTACAAAAGCATTCTCGCGTTAAAGTTGGACAATTTCGCCGAGTTATTCGGATAAAGGTGAAAGTCGTCACTTTTCGATTATGATTTCGATGTGAATTGAAATTTGGATATTATTAAAGCCAGGGCAATGTAATCGGAATGTTCGCTTGCAAAATTTAAACTATTAAAGTGCACAATTCAAGTTACAAGCTAGTCAAATTGTTACAAAGTAAAATATTTATTGGCGGTAAATTAAAATAATTAAATTTAATTACTTACTATTTCAACAAATGGTTTGAAATTAACAAAAAAAAATTAATTTGTTAAATGTGGGATAGTTAACGCCAATGCTACTTGTGCAAAGAGGAAAAAGAAATTGCTCCCTCAGGTGTATTAACGGATGAATGAAGTGAATAAGCCGGGCAAGTGGAAGGCACTTGTCTAGCTGTAATCTGCGTAGTAAATCGTGCAGTGGAATAGCGGAATACTGCAAGCCACTACTCGTCCTCTCGTCGACACTAACTACTCTTCACCGCGAATTGCAGCAACATACTTATATTTATACAATGTTGTAGCACCACCACATAATGCGGACTTTTTAAACAAGTTTCTAACAAAAACACCAAAAGTACTCATACTTTTATAACTACCTACGCATGCGTATTATAAATAACTGAGGTGGAGCATAAAAATAAATTAGTTAAAATATAAATATTTTATAAATAATTTATATCACGTTTCTCATTAAAATTTTAATTTCAATATGAAATTTAAAGTACTGTTTTACATATCATAAATATATGCAACATTTATTAATATAAATAAATGTAAATATTTGGATACATCATTAGTAAATTATACATAATGCATCAACGTGATGAACACTTTAATGAACTTTAATTACATAATTAAAAATTACGAATCTTTACATGATCTTTTTTCTGTTGATTAATATCGTTTATTAATAAATTTAATTAATGAAACACATCATTAGTCAACCACGTAACGCGCGTCACAGTTAGCGCAGAAAACGAGCGCCGCATATTAAATCACACATTAAACGACATTAATTAGATTCGCCGATAACGTATCGCGAATATTATGAATGCATTATCATAAATTCCGCGTATACCTACAGAGAATGTCGCGTCGGACGCATGAATGCAATCGCAACGCATAACACATAAAGCATACGTGAACGTTCCGAACTCAAAACTCAAAATTAATTACGCGAACCAATATTGATCTTAAAACAATATTATTCTAACCTGATTTTATATTTTTTATATGTAGATCACAATAATAATACATAAATTTATTTTTATGGATTTTAATATAAAAATATTGATTTTTTAATAAAATAACTTTTTAGGTTATGTTTTTGCCTTTATATTTTGAAAGTTGTTACTACATCCATCTATCGGCTGCTTTGCCGGCACGATGATTATGATAATGTATCAATCAATCGCAAATCGCGACGATCAATCATTCGCTTGCTGTGTGCGCGACTAATACGCGCCATTATGCAACGTATGACGTCACACACGGCAGCCATTTTGTGTCGCGCCTGGCCCTACTTTCAAAAGTCAATAACCTAGCTTACCATGACTATGTTTTTGTACAAATATATGAATGGAGAAATTTATAATCTAGATACCGAAATTCCAAATACATTTTGATTATGAATCCTCAATTGAGAGCGGAGATGAAGTCGAAACAATTAACAGCACTCGGCATAATTACGACTCGGGAACGAAATCAAGTCAACAATACCGATACCAATACACAACTTGACTGGTGGAGGCTGATGAGATCCGGACTCCTCACTAGAACACCCACCATAAATCTAAAATGATGCCGAATTTGAATGGAAGCGGGAATTCATCCCCTCAACATCATAATCACAATCGTAATAATCTCAGCTTATGCAATATTATTATTTAAAGCAGTCAGTCGAGCACTCGTCAAGAATTTCGAAAGCTTAAATTTTTCATGGAGATTTTTGTCTTATTTCCCTCGCTTTTCGGATGCTTGTCATTATCGATAATAAACCATTTCATCATTACTCTCTTCACAAAATAATCCCATGTAAAAGCAAAGCGGGGAAAGAAAAAAGAAAATGTAATGAATAATAAATTTAAGGGCGATACTTCCCGGAATTGAAGGGATGTCTTCATAATAACTTTAATTGTGTCGATCGCCATTGTAATGATGCTGATGGCGTATAAATTGATGGAATTTTAATTTGATTATATTGATTTTTAAGTGTACTATAAGTGAATTGAATTGATTTTCTATTGTTGCAGAGCCGATAACAACGCTTCTGGGAGGGCCGGAAATGTACATTAACAAGGGAAGCACGATGAATCTGACGTGCATTGTAAAACACAGTCCGGAACCGCCGCCAAGTATTTATTGGACTCATAATGGAGCGGTGAGTGTAAAAAATATAAATCTTATTAATTTTTTGGTTAATTCTGAGTGATTAACCTTATAAAATCTACTTAAGCATCAGACGACTTTTTTCCTTTTGATATTTGGGGGTTTAATTAAGAAAAACATAAATTTAACGTTTAATCTACGAAAATCACACCCGCATCAAGTTTTTAACCCCTTGTGCCAGACGCAAATCTTTCAAAGCGTCTAGTCACAATTCCCAAACTAGCCCGGCGCCTTCACCATCAGCATGATTAGGGGTTTACATTTGTCATTTCGTTTTCGGAGGCTTTCTTTAGACACTGTCCTTTGGATACTTTGCGTTGACTTTCCAGACCTAGACAATTGTCGAAACTCTGAAACCCTCTAATAATTTCTGCTAATCAAGTTACGTCTCCTCGTCAAACAAGCGCCGCGAAAAGCATCATTAGGACATTAAGAAAACACGATTTGCATTTTTATCTCTTGCTGCTACTACGCAAAAGTTATCTAACTTTTATATTTTTATCCGTGGCCGAGTTTTTATTTTTATCAAAACTTTTTATTCGCTGGAACTAACAACGAAATTTGTTATGGAAATTTTTCGTTTGCTTTGAATGCGTTTAAAAGGCTGTTGGAAATTTGTAGCTGCAAGGGGCAAACCTGAGAAGAAAAAGACAACGAAAAACGTTGGAATGGAGAATTTACGTCACTGCGACACTGCCCCTAATTGTATTGCAGCACGCGTAATGAACGCGCCGCTGAACGCCTTAAGCGCTTTTCGTTACGGCACGAGCAGCGAGAACGTGATTAACACGTGATTGCAAATAATTAAAACGATATCGATTTATTTCGAGCAGGTTATAACGATGACAAAAAGATTATTGCGAGCTTGTTTCTTTTTTCAATGAATATAAATTTTGGTCTTACGTGACACATTTTTTATGAAATTAATAATGAAAAGTGACATAAGTGGACAGAGAAAATTTATTAAAAAAATTTAACATTTTTTAAATTAGTTTTAGTTGATTATAAGATAATGTTGATTATTTTTCGATTTTCGTTTAATTTCTGTTTGGAATGCAACACATCGCTTTCCGTTGGTCGCGCACGTAATTCGACCTCACCCAGCGGGGCGAATTAATGAGGCGTTCGCGGATGCGAATGGACTTAATGGATCGCCCGGATCTTTCGTCCTGGTCGTAGTGCACAAGCGTGTCCTCGAGAAAAATCCGACACGCCGGACTTTGCAACGCGGCGGCTCGTAAACGTTGGCGTTTCTCATTAAAAATTTTAACTGCGCATTTTCCGTTTTTCCGGGATGCGCTTGGACAAAAAATAAAGAGTCTTCAATCCATGATGCGTATAAAATGCTTTAAAAAACGTTTTTTAATATCTTTCATGTTTTACCGGGTAGATGGCAGCACTTTTATTAAATATAAAAAAATACATTACTCCATTATGTAAGTTTGTTCCGTAAATATTCACTTAAACATTTCAGTGATATGTCCTAACGACAACACTTAACTTTAAGCATGCAAGGAAAAAACCCTACACCGGTGTGTTAATGCGCGTTTGCTTTCGCGTCGACGGTGGTCATTAGAGCATTATTTTTTTTATTTTTAATTCGCGCAAATTCACAAAAGGCCTGAGTAATTAGAGCACTTTATTAAAAAATATAATTTTATGCCGCCGAGGCTCCCGCTTAACAATGCTTACCACCATGGTCTCCTTTCAACCCGCCGGAGAAAAAGTGATGGAGAAATATGTCGCGTTATGCGAGGAATGACTCGACCATAATTCACCCTCAGTCTAGCAAGCGCTCTCGCCCAGTCGCCCATTGAAACACATGGGTTAATACACTATACACGCTTCAGTTATGGATTTTTTTGCGCCCGACGCGAAGCAGTCGCTAAGCCGGGCCGGGCCGGAATTGCAAAAAATGAAATTAAATTCAATTTGTGCCTGATGTATTTTCGCGTTGTTTTTTTGGTTTTTACGCCGCATAGGAGCACATTGTGAAAAATCGCAACAAAACTGTAGCGGCGAAAAAGGGTGTGACGATGAAATTGCATCGCGTGATTTTAAAAATCTGTTAAAATCCGTTTTCAATACGCTACGGTAACTAAAAAGTACTTCTACGTGTCGATGGTTTTATAAGTGCATTTTTAATGACCACGATAGAAAATTTAATCGAACAATTGCATTTTAAGTACTTATCAAAATTAATAATCAATTCCTATATAAATTTTTATTAAAAACAGTAAAAATCTTTTATGTTGCGTGAGTATCTATATACTTTTCTTAGCCAATGAGAGATTTATTTTGCTGTCAGTCCTTAAGCGATAAATGAAGAAGTAGAACGTATATAGCTTGTATTTATGAGGAAATATACTACAAAAAAGAAAGAAGTAGAGAGAAGCAATCCTTCTCATTTATCCTTAATAAATAGCAAACTTCATTTGGTCGTATCGCTCTAATCCAATAAGGTTCGACGCCATCCGATGTGATAGCACGATGGATCTTTTTTTTTTGTTGTTTAACGTCCTTCTGCAAGCATCTTCTACATTTTTTCAGATTTTCTCATTTTGTTTCGTTTAATTTTTTTCCTCGCCTAGAGAAGACAATAGTTTTAATTTTTCTGTCTGTCTGATGACAATAAAAGGACAAAAGAAGCGTTTTTAGGTCGACTGGATGACTTTTCCTCCATGGCGACATATCGGTTTGGGTTGGGGGCGATCTCTGGTCGCGATTAATAATTCGGCCCGCACAAAGGCGCGCCGAAATTGCATCCTTTCGCGCTTGATCGACTCGACGATTTTCCGGGACGATTCGGCCCGGCAGGCGCGACCGTGGAAACACGCTCCGGGAAATTATTTGAGCAAATGTGACTACACGACGATCGAAATCGGGGAAATGAGTGGAAACTCAGTGAATCATATTTTTCTGTCTTTGGTAGCATTTTAGAAAAAATATTTCTTTTGCTTTTTATACACACAAGTAAAAGCATTCCGTGACTCTTTGTCATTAAAGGATTTTATTCGCATTTATACTTGAGTGAAGTGTATCGTGATCGTGACGCTTGTTAGAAGCAAATTAATAAACTATTTTTTTGTTTTCCATTTCCGCCTTCCATATGCTGTATTTTTTAACCTTTCTGTCAGCTCAAGCAGCCGTTTCCGCTGCTATGTAGTACGAGTAGTTGGCAAATTTAATGCCGAATCATTAATTAGAAGTAGTGGAAAGTGGAAAGCGGAAAGCGAAAACTTGAGTTAGTCTTGAAATGTCTTGAAAGCGGAAAAAACGTAGGCGAACTCGTTTCGCCTGAAGAAATTGAACGCAAAGCGCGTCATCGTCAAGTTCACTCGTTCGCTCGTTCACAGTTCTTCACTTCTTCTTCAATTTGCACTAGGTACTTTTCAGCACAAGATTACTCTCCGCACATTCATTAAGCGTTAGTTACCTAGGATTTGAATGGCACAAAATGCTCCAACGTCGAACAAACACATTAAGAAAACATTGCCTTCACTCAGCGCAGAGTCAGTTTTTGTCCTTTGGCATCTCTTCAACGTCAGTAGCAAGAAAAGAAAACTTTCAAAGTTTAAAATCAGTCTACTCCTAACTAACTATGAGTTCGAACCTTAGTTGAGACGAAAGTAAGTAAACAGATGCGTAAAGGTAGCAAGGTTTGGAAGTTGATGTACCATCGTGACGGCTTAAAGATAGTGAAATTTGCTCCCAACATAAGATTGGCTCAAAGTTGGCATCCAGCGACCAGACGAAAGAACGACCAACGTTTGCCTACACCACCCGCAACCCTTTTAGTGTATGTGTGGTGGTTGGGGAAGGTGGCGCGGCCGACGGGAACGTAAATTGAGACTGAGTTTACCAACCGTCACCGTGTGACGGTGGTGGGTCTCCCGGAGAGAATAAACTTTCGGTTAGTAATTACCCATCTTGGCTCCAACTAGTTTATACAGGGTGATTTAAATTTTTCTTTCTAAAAATATAAAAACTTTAAACACACTGTATGTTCTTTTTCTTTTTGATAAAAGTTAAGAAGTTCTATCAACCTTGATACTCAAAAAGGGACAAATTACAAACATTCAACCAACCTACGATTATATCCAAGCTCTCGACTTTTCATGAGTCTTCCTGAAGTACTCACCTTCATCATGTATTTCACTCTACTTCCATGCTACTTTGCTCTTTACTACTAAGGACGACGAAGTATCCTTGCTTTGCTTGCTTGAAGAAGTACTGGACGAGGCTGCATGCAAAAATTCACCGAAGAGATGTCAGTTTACTCTGATGTGATGTGTCAGAAGTAGTCCTATACTAATAGAGAGGACCGTAAAGTCCTTCGACGGGCTTTCACCTACACGGGCGTTTCCTAACCCACTTTGGGCGCTTTAATGCAGCGCATCCTTTATCTTTTATCCCATCCTGATTAATTAAAGCACCTTGCATACAGCAGACACCTTGAGAGCTTAAAAGTTTTCTGCTTAACTATACTTAGGTACTTACTAAGAAACAAAATTTATATAAACTCCATTTGGTGTTGTTAAATTTTCGATTCTTTAAGTTTACTAATTTCAGTTCGTCTTGCAGGAAATCAACTACGACTCGCCGCGTGGTGGCGTGAGCGTCATCACGGAGAAGGGCGACATCACAGTCAGTTATCTTCTAGTACAGAGGGCGCGCGACTCTGACAGCGGCAAGTACACCTGCAACCCCTCGAACGCTAATCCCAAGAGTGTTATTGTGCACGTTCTCAACGGTGAGTACAATCTACTTTAAACATCAAAGCTTTATAAATCAATAAAATTAATACTACAAATGATAAGCAACTCATGTAACCTACTTAGGTTATGTAGGTGAACTATAGGCATACATGCATACATGCGTTTGTCAATCGAATATGTTGTAACGGTTTGCTTGTCATTATACAAAATGTTGTTTTGTGTCTTTTGTGCAAATTGCAATTTGCTTAATGTAAAATGGAGTAAATACACACCACACACATGGCATTGACAAATGTTTGAGCTTTCTGTATGTGGTTTCGCTTTGCTTTCATATTTTGCTTGATATATTTCAATATTCCTTTGTCTCTTGTTGCATCAAAAGACTTTAATGGAATTATATTTCTATTGCCTTATTCTATGTTTATAAAATAGTTAGGTAGCAATTTTTTCTCCGTAAAAATTGTTATTTTTGCTTGTGCATGAAGCTTTTCCGGAATAGTTTCAGTTCTTTGCCGGTTTCCTGCTAGTCCTCTGAGACTCGCATCTTTTCCTAATTAGATTCTTCTTGACTCTAGTCCATTGCAGATTTTCCCTAGTGAGTTTACTCGTGCGCTCATTTGCTCGTTGCTGGTAGAAAATTTTCGTCATTTTCTTCATTTTTCCTCATTTCCGGAACTTTCTTAATTTCTCATGTGTCGTCCTTTGTTCCATTCTATCTCTCAGCCTTCGCCTTTGTCCTTTTTTAGAAGATACACTTACAAGTGGCACTTTGTTTGTCATTTCACGCTGTGCATCCGTATCGTCCGCTGTCCATCTCACAGCTTCCCGTCTAAGAGCTTTGCAAAGGATTACGTGTAAAAAAACACCCTTGCACGAATGATTTAGCGCCCGACCGAGCGTTTCGTGATCGTAAATCGTACGGATTTCAATGCATGGATAATTAATCGCGCTGGCCTAATTAAATTTGCATATTTATCATTATTTCCTCGTTTTTCATCTGAGTTTCGGGTGGAGGGTAGTAAAACTCGACGTGTTGTTGACGAGCATGACGCAAGAACTACTTGTCACTCGAGTGTAATTAAATACCGCGTAAACACGTAAAACACGTATAACAGCTTCATAAAAACGTCTAAAAATAGAAAAACATTTAACAACCATTAAGAAACATAAAATTCAGCAATCAAGCAGAATATAACCTAAAAATATAATTTTCACAACTTTTTCTACAAATCGTGTTAACTTTTATGGGTGTTTTTTTTTTTAATATTGAGATAAACAGATTGACTGTTTGTAGTTTGTTTACATAATGGAGAAAATCCAGTTAGTAACGCATTGTGGCCGGGAACAGTAAACACTGACCGGTTGAACAACCCGCTAGGTCACACTACGAATAATAGCATCAAACGTTCGCACATCGCACTCGTATTTGAACAAACAGTGAGGTACAAAGTACACACCTAGCCAGGCGACGCCGACAGTATGCCCGCCGTCGAGTGAATTATTTATCATTTGACCGCATGGCAGCGCAGCCAAAACCTGACGTTATCCGCCAACATCGGCCATCAGCCATTCATCGTGACCGAATGCCCAAACTCTGCGCACTGATATTACGTTCCATTTACAAGCCTTCGTTTGATGTTTTGCTATGATTTGAGTATTTTGTTAAAGTTTGTATTTGTAACTAATAAGCAAAGTCAATAATTACCGGAGCATACATAAAACTTTATTCCTGCTACTAATTTCACAAATTTGAAGGAAAACCTGTTTATTTGCTATCCACGTCTAAGCTATTGAATAAATTTTGATAGAATGTGGTTTAACACTAAATTAAAACTTAAAGAATCTCAGAAAATATGTTTTATTAAAATAAAGTATAACTTTAATAGGATAAATTAATATTATGAATGAAAATATGACTTTTGTTTGTTTGTAATGCTTTCACGTAAAAAGTACTAAAAAAATTTTGAAGAAAAATTGATATTGGGATAATTTTGTCTTTACAAAGTAACATAGACTAATTTTTATCAAAGCAATATAATTTGATAGCTGTAAAATAAGGAATTAAAGTTGGCATGGTAAATCAACTGCAGTTATACTTAAGTAATTTAAATACAGATGGCGCTAATGTGAATTTATGATCATTATTTGAAGAAACAGTTTACTGATACACAAAAAATTATTAAAATATAATTTTTTGCATTTTAATAAAATTTTAGAATTAAAATGCTTATATTTATGATAAATAGTTTCACTAATATGCCCCCAGTGCATAATTAATATGTGAACATTGTCAGCGTGCATAATTATCAAGAAATTCAATGATTTCAATCATATTCAATAATTAAGCAACCAATTATTTGGTTATTATTCACCACCGCATGTAATACACCGGAACATACGCTAATTATTAATTAATTTAACAATTACGTCGTTAATTCACCGACCATAATCCATATCTATAATAATAACTTTGTGGTTTTGTTCACTTTCAAAATTTTGTATTACACGTCAATCAATTACCGGAAATTATAGAGAAATGGTACAAAAAATACTCGAACTGAATGTGTGCTACCGGAGTACTACTGTTTGAAATAATGGGAACATTAACAACTTAACTGGGAGGCAAATCATGAAAAGCATGCAAACACAGAAAATGATAGAGTGCGTTTGATGTCATGATACGGCTTGATGGGAAAAGTGGGTTGCTGTAATTTCCTTATTAGTTGGATTACTTTTTCAGCATGCTGGAAATATGAAACTGATTCCCATGAGTTTTACCGGCGTGCGGTCGTTGGGGTTAGTTGGTAAACGCGATAGCGTGACATGACACGAATACAACGTTTAAATAAAACTGAATTGTTATTTTTTTTGCAACTTTTGCTCATTTCCTGTAATAACAAAAAATGTATTTTATCACTTAGAATTTACAAGCATACTGTTTTTACAAATAATACCAACATTATTAGGAAATTAAAAGAAAACAAGCTGCATACAAAGCAATATTATAAATGTGAATAGAAATTTGTATGTTTGTGACGCTTTCAAGCAAAAACCACAAAACCAATTTTGATAAATTTTGGTATAAAAATATTTTTGAGTATGGAAAAGCTAATAGGCTACTTTTTATCGCAAAAATTTAATTGGAAGAAAGTAAAATAAGAGATAAAAGAGGTTATAGAATATCAATTATTGTGTTAGTGATATAATTTAAACAGGAAAGGTCTTATTAAGTATTATATGCATTTTTTGCTATAATAATTAAGAAATAAATAATTTTTTATTAAGTTATGCAATTAAAAAATATTATTAACTAAATTATTAATTATTTATTTAATTACGGCAGTATTACACAATTTCTCGTTGATCTGCAACAAGAATGATCAAAAAGAAAATTTAACAAAATATATCACCATCAAAGAAGTAAAAGCATGCACCACTACCTTTGATAATAATAATTAATGTTTGTAATTAGCAGCGTTCTGTTACTTTCGGTGCCTTTGCTACTTGCTTAGTTGCAAATATCAGCCTTCCTGCTTTCAATAAAAAAATTCGCTGTGCAGTTTTCAAATTTTAATTTTCGAGCCAGCAAAGACGATAATTAGCATTTATGAGCGTAATTAACGCTCGCAGCACTCGGCAAACACAAGTTGGAACTTTTCTCAACCTTGCTCTAAGAAATTCCGGCTCGGCCTGAAGGAAATTTATTTTTCATCTTGAGCATAAACTTTACCAGAATATACTGTACCGAAACATTAAACACGTTGCAAAATTAATGACGTTACATATTTATTAGCAGTAATATCATAAGCGTCTCATGCATAATGAAACAAAATAAAATAACGAGTGTTTAAATTTTATACAATGCTTTGATTTATGATGGTATCGTAGACAAATTTATTAGTTTTTTGTGATATAAAGGACTCTAAAAAATATTATACATATTTTTATGAAATTTGAGGTTTTTATTCATTTTTTTTAGTTTATTTTTTGTGTTGTGAAGTGAGAATTTTGAAGGTCTTAACGTTTTTGCCCAGGTTTAGGTCCTTGGGTATTTGGGGGTCTACGTCTGGAGGGAAGTCGGTCATAAATTCCAGCGTCAAAGCGTCACGCCGAGTGATAACCGTTGATAACAGGTTTATAAATCCGACGGCGCGCGACGTCATCCTGATTTACGGCCGAGTTTATGCTCGAATTTCCTTCGCGACGCTCATTTCTTAAATCTGCCATCATCAAAATTTCGAACATGTAGAAAATTGTCTTTGGAAATAAACTTTTTTTGCGTGAATAATTGATTTTTGGTGGCAAAATAAATCTGATTTATTTTTGTTTACGATGAAAGCAAAATATTCAATATACGATAATCGTATGCATGTCACGTTTTGACTTGAATATTACTCGAAGCGGAAGTGGAGGAAGACAGAAGAGTGGTAGTTCCTATTTGTGGGTGGCGGCAATTTTTTTTTATATTTTATATGCAAAACTTTTATTTTTATTTTTGGCGAAAAAAAAAATTCGAACACATTGTATAATTTAAATGTTGGTGTACGAATAGGTACATATTGTGGCAGCCATCTCCTAGCGGAAGATGCGGGTCGCAATGTTGTCGTTGTAGGGTGCAGGATGCTTTTGGGGTGGTGGTGTGACGATGAAAAATGAGAAAAGAAAACTGAACGCTCGTCGAATGTCGGGCGCGCGCCTGATGCGGGTGCGAACGGAGGCGGGTTGAATAATGGAAGTGTCGCGTCGGTCGGCCGCCCCCGACCCCGTTTAAAAGCGACCGCGTTGAGGAGGCCCGCATCCAGCATTTCACGTCCAACATCCAAGCATCCGAGCATCCCGGCACATTCAGAATTCGAAGCCTGACGGCTGAATATCTCCAAGTCGTGCAATAAACGTGGAAAACTCTTCTAAACTCTTCTAGCGTCGCCGGCGCGCATACATCAAGGCCGTGGGGGGTGCGCGCGTGAGCCTAGGGGCGGCTACCCTTGGAATATTCTCAATCAAGCTGAGGAGTCCAATTCGTATTCCTCGCAAACTTAAACTTAAATTTTCTACTCCTAACCACAAACACACAACCACGTTTAGGTAAATTTTCTTCGTCTACGACTTCCTTTCTTTCTTCGCGTAGAAAACGTTCCCAAATAAAATTGAGAAAAATCCGAGCCATTTTTGAAGGCACGTCCTCCGCGCAAATTACGACTGAAGCCGGAAATGAAGCCACAACTTTGACTTAATTAAGAAATATGTCGCTTAGAAAATGGATGACTTGTAAGAGTAAATCTGGCAAGAAATTCAAGTAACAATCTTAATCTTTAAATTTTTTCTTTTTCTTTTTATCTATATATTTTTAGTTTTATCTGATGTCTGACTGTAAGACTTGAAGCCGTTTTCGATCATTCCAATTATTTGCCTCGGGTCACGTCCTCGCTAGATCCAAGACAATATAATTCTTTTAACGGTTTATGTCGTCCGTCCTTCCTCCTCGTCGACCTCGACGACTTGATGGAACAAAAGACGAAAATCCAGCGGGGCCCCAAAAGACTAAAAACCCTGCGAAGCGAACCAAAACAATTGTCTTAACAACTGTTGGACGATTCCGGTCGAGTTTACAAGTTTACAAGTTGCACAACTCCAGCAGCAAGTCATGACCAGTTGTCGATCGCACAATTTGTACAATTGTGCAATTCCGTTCTGTTTGTATAACTTGTTTTCTTCATCTCTCCATGTGTAATATTTTTTGTTTTGTTTTCTTTAAAATTTCTTACTTTTATGACCATTTTTGTTGCGTCGCGTCTTAACTTCAATTCTTTTCTCCATTTCGCAAGAGGAAGTACGTTTTGGCTGGTCTGGCTGAGAGCGTTTCTATTCTCTAGTTTGAATGGATCGGATGCGGCGCGAATAATTTAGTTTTCGGTTTTGGCTACTGGTACAACCAACAATAGTGTCCAAGTTTTGGCTGCATGTTGGAAGGTTTGAAGACGATCACATTTAAATTCCGCATCGGTGCGAAATTGCGCCAGAAAAGGACAAGTCGCAGCTAGACGACGCCGAACAGGCGACAATAAATATATATAAGCAAACAGTACCTATAAAATGTCGAAAATAAAAACAAATTCGACGCACAGCGTTCAAAAACCATAAAAACGTGTTTCAAACATGCAGATCGTGTTTGCCAAACATTTTATTAAAGCTTTAAATAACCGAAAATCTTAATACTACTACAGAATAAAGCAGGTTTATATTTTAAATAAAATAAATTATAACTTTTGTATTTCTGGATAGGTTGCGTGTGGTGAAAGCGATAAAATTTTATTTATTCTTGCGTAGATAGAAAAAAATCTATCCGAGAGCCAATAACACCAATAACGCGTTTAAACGATGTGACAACGGCTGCGAAAAGGGCTGCGCGGAAACCGAGTTACAAATTGCGGCAACCGTGCGGAATATTAACAAAGCACGAACGTGAAGAATACTTCCACAACAACTTCCAACAATTTGCCATAGATAAAAACGTAAGCCATCACGTAATTTTCGCCAATATCCGTGTGAACATTTCGGCCGAAAAAAGGGAAAAATAAGAGGCAGACATGACGAAATAAACAAGTCGTAATACTCCAAAGAAAAGACTCGGAATCCTCAAAATGTTTCTTTTGAAACTTACGCAATAGATAGATTTAAATTTGTTGGTGTTTTGGTATTGTGTATGATTCGATGCTGGCTCATTCATTTATCCTGGCATTTCGGTTTGCTCTTCGGTCGGCGTGGTGAATGCGCCGGGCGCTCCCTGCCCTCGAGGGTTTCTAGCCGAAGCGAGCGGAACGTGCGGCGGGCGTTTAATAAATAGACCGTGCGGCGCTTAATTGCCGCTGGAAACGGTTATAGGAACGCACGAATTAATTAATTCAAGAAGCCATTAATTATTCCGCATTTATTAACTTTATAGTGCAAATATGCGCTGGGAAAACATGCCGGCCAAGGATAGATAGTTGTTCTGGCCGTCTGCAACACACCAATTGAATTTTATATTTATTTATAAGTTATTTTTTACACTGCGATTTAATATCGTGTTGGTGTAGTTGTAGTTGAAGAGTGCTTCTTCGTGTTGCGTGTTTTCTTGTGCTCCTGCTGTGACTGACTGACTGCTAGTTGAGACCTGTAAAGCCCTGCTGTTGCCCTGTTGTTTTGGATAGTTTTGCGCTGAAACATTTCTTGTCGCCTGCGAGTTGGAAAGTTTTTTGCTGGAATAAGTTCGACGGATGAACGACATGCTCTAGAAATATGAAAACATGTCTAACACGAGAATAATATTAAAAGTGTCACTGAATATCAAAACTTTTTGAAATGTGAACATTTTTAGTTAAATCGATTTTAAGCTTACGATTTAAATTTATGTCCGGGTCTTCTTTTGCCTTTGCTTTCGTCTTGTTGCGTTGATCATAGTTTACAACTTTGCAACATAACTGGCATTGTAAAACATGCCCGCCAGTAAATTATTTTATAATGCAAAGCGTCGCTTGCTTCTTTCTGCATAGTCAAGCGAAGTGAAGCAAGGCAAAGTGAAGTTTATGAGACGTGGCCGGACGAGATTTTCTAATAAGTTTATGCGCGACGCGCAAACAACTTCCGATAGTTTATCACTTGCGTCGAGACGGGCGTCCTGAAGATGCATCTCGGACAAAATTCAACGCGGGGGAAATGTATGATGAAAGTTGCTAAATTTTGTAAATAATAAGTTTAGTTAGTGTAGCAGCTTTGAAGTGGCGAAGAATATTAATATCGAACATGCGATGCATATTTTATTACTTTAGTATTATAATATTATTAATTTTCTATACATTACACTTGTATGCACACAAGAACTGACTTCTAAAACTTGTGTTGTGTGTTTTAGGTGAACATCCAGCTGCGATGCAACATGGCGGCCAACTGCGACTGGAGTACCCTCTGACGGCGTGTCTGCTAAGCGTGTTTGTCGTCGTGCTAGGCCTGTAACTTGGCGTACACTACTAAATAATTGTAATAAAGCAAGCAAGTTGAAGTTTGAAGTAAAGTGCATGTGCATAAAATGTTACCCAAAGACAAAATCTACATGTGAACTTTTTAAGTTATTAAAATTTTAAAGAATGTTAAAAACTTGACATCAAACAACATGGCGGTAAGCTCAAATCGTAAACTGTGAGGTAAAGTAAAGTGCTGTACGTGTAAAACGATTTTTATATGAAAGCAAAGTTTAAACTTGGTAAAAACCAAACTGGGAACTAAACTAAACCACAAATGCAAATGCAAGGAGGGATTTTCTATCTCGGAAACGTTTTGGTACTGTGGAGCTCTGTAAAAAAATAGATACGAAAAATGTCTGAAAAGAAACGAAAAATACTGCGCCAGGAAAACGTGTTGAACGGATTGGCACGACCAAAACGTCGAGTCGAGTTCATACATATTACGTCGAGTTGAGTTAATATTTGCCAGATCTCCATTCCGAACACGCGGAAACATTCTGCGGCGGTAATGGCGGCAACAGCAACAGTGCGTGTGCTAACAGTGTGTACTCAACGAAACACTCGCTGAACAAATTCAAGCCTTGAGAAAGCTGCAGGAAAAAAATACCAAAAAGATCCTCAGCCAACCAGCCAACCAACCGAATGAAAACAAAATCCTCGACAGCCAAGATGGCGTCGTCACCACTCCCAACGAGCAAATAAAACAAAAACCAACAAGCGAATAAATAAACATAAAATTAACTCAAAAATAAATGATTTTATACTAAAATTTGCGCGAATTGTAAGTCGACACTTTCATAAACTGCAAGCAGACAGAGTGCAACGTAATAAATTGATTGTTTCAACATCGTATCCAATTAAATCCGAATAAAGTGAATAATTTAATACCTAATGAATGTGTGAGTGTGACACCACTGTATTTTTTGTACATATGTAATCCGAACACGCGCTGAAACGTCAAAATGATGGAAATGAAACAGAGAATTTAGAAAAGTCAGAGTAATGCGAGACATGCGAAACTCATTCCATTCAAATAACATGCAAATGTAAGCATTAATGAGCAGCATGCGTTAAAAAATATGTGAAATGTAAAGGGGTAACTATGAAAAGCTCATGATTACTCATGACCGAGTACGTGTCACCTCGTCAAAGTCGTCAAACTCGTCTTCATTAAAAATTTTAATTAGAATATTTATTTCAATGCTCGCAGAGAACAGAGTTTTGCAAATGTTTGCATTTTTGAATAGGTTTCAACTTTCAGTACGCACACACTGTATGTTCATGCGTAATTTGTTATACTTTCGAGGAGGGCTCGAAAGTTTTCTAATTTAATTTTGTTTTAATTAACTTTTCGGTTTGTACAATGTCACACGCTTGAATTTTTCATCAATTTTGTTTAAAACGAGAATTTATAGGAAAATAATAATGTTAATTCAATTACGTATTTATTTTGTGCGTAAAAATGAAAAGGGTTGAAGCGCGAAAATCAATTAACACGGTAAAAATATTCTCTTGAGTATAACTAGATTAAATGTTCAATTTTTTCAACAATTTTTCACTCGCTCACTTTGCAATTTTTATAAAATTTTACTTACACTTTATAGTCCATTAATTTTTTATCAAGTGTTTTAATTTCATTCTTTTTGCCTCACTTTTGTCCAAGTTTTTATCATCATCGTGACGGTACACTTTGCGCGTCCGCGGCATATCGTTTAAGGAGGTTAAGATAATAAAATATTAAGTGCTTCTTTGCTTTTTGCTCGCCGCCACCCAGAGAAGAAAGGATAACATTTTGCCAATCGCAAAATATTAATTACTTTCGCACCCGATGACAGCAACTAGCAAAAAGCACGAACCACTCAGACCTAAACCGAAATTTTGTTTTGATTTGCATTCGTTCCTGCGCGTATAATGAATTTCGATTGAATCAATTAATTTTAATCAAAGCAAATTGAACGAGGTAATTAATTTTGACGCGACGCATACTAAAACGAGGAAATTCTCTGATTGTACATAGAAAACAACCACACTAATTGTTTACATAAAACATTAAATAATGAAAAATGTGCAAAGATACAACTATTAACATAATAATGCGAGTGTGAGGACGATTTTAATAATAAAATAACGTAAAAATCAAAAAACAATTTGTGTTTCAACACAGTTTAATAAAGTTTTTGGTTTGGAGTTTTGTGAAACGATTTGTGAATATATTTAATAACATTAAGGTACATACATTGAACAAAATGTGATTGTCTCCTACTTAAATTTAACATAAATAAACAAATCGAAACGAAATGAACTCATATAAATACATGAACACTATAAATATACTGATGCTGTTATTATTACTAACTAATTATTATAATTATTATTATTGTAAATGAAAATAAAATATTTCAAACAATGTTTTATTTTATTTTATTCTGTATGCTAGGCAACCATATTTACGTCTTAGGCGAGTTAAGTATACGCACGCGCGCATATCACACGATTCGTTGCAGCGTCCGTTGTGTTTCATTGTTTCATGTCGCGTGTGATGTGCTGTGCGGTGTGCAACATGTGCCCGAAATCCGATCCAATGCAGAGATGGTTATGGCGAACGTGAAGAACGCTTAAGGTAGGTGTCGATATTAATATTGTTTTATGCGTATTATATGTCTGGTGTTGCCACTGCTGTGTGCAGTGTTAGGCACATTTAAAATGTGTTTCTTTGAAGGACATTGTTGTTTTGAGCTGTGGTTCTGGTTTTCGGTGCTGATAAGATTCTGTGCGTGCTGACTGATTCAGCACACTACAATATTCAATATTGCTAACAGTTAGAACGCATAAAATAAGACTGTCATTCTTTATATAAATAATTAAAATACAAAATTCACCGGCTTTTCAAATTAACCTCATAATCATCTCTGAACAAACCGGTTGTTATGTAATAATCGTCTGTATGCAACCAAAACTACACATTGCGCAATAAATTGCTGCGAACTTGCTGTTCACATAAGCTACGTTGATTAATGATAATATACCAAATTGACATCAGAAATGACTTTGCATGAGCGAATCGTAAATGTTCACAATACACACCGCGCTGCAGTTAAAGGTATTGTAGCGCGTGTTGTGTTGTTGTTGTTGTATGTGCTGTATGTTGAGTAGATACATCGAGGTTCACAACTCCACAGAGATGTACCGAAATGCAACTGAAAGTCAAGCATAATGCACGAATAATGCAACAATGCGTCACCGACACCGATTGTTGACACGGCGTCGCTTGCACCCGCACAATTCGACAATTCGTGCCCCACGTATACGGAACAAAACACGAGGGCAAAACACGTCGCCACGCTTTGCGGACAATCAGACAAATTCGTTTTGTAAATTTACTCACTGTTACTCGAATTTCACCGTCGCATTAAGCGCCACATTTGTACTTTGCCCACACGACGGCAACAATCAGTCACATCATCTGACATTCATTGCGTTAAAACTACTGCATTTGTACTGGTAAATCTCATAAAGTAAAAATTCGTATTAATCAATTAGCATAAATTTTAAAGTGTGTTATATTGATCTTTAAATATCACAACTTGAATTCGTGAATTCACATTTCGGTCGGTTTGAAGTGCGCGTTGAAATTGTGTGAGTAAATTCGCCCTGGGAGTGTGCGTGTCAATTAAAGTTAGTTTCAATATAGCTGACGGGATATTAGATATTGATGACAGGCAATTTCCCTTAGTGTTCGTTAGGATTTGAGATCGAGCTCTTCTAGCTGCTTCTTATTCTCTTCGTTCTTCACATGCGGGTTTATACCTTGAGTCGGATTTACCCTGCAGGCGGACGAGGAGAGGTAATAGGATTTGTGTTTGTGCAAACTGCAAACCAGCGGTTGAGGTTGCTGTAAAATGAAATGTAGTGGTGTGGTAGTTTTCTTCGTTTCCTGCGAATCCTACTCTCGGTTGGGAAAACCAGTCATTGCCGCTCGAGAGCTCACGCTTCATTCGATCTGACTCGTTTCGGGCTCGTTTCTAACATTATTGATATGAAACTAACATTCGGCACATTTTATGTCAGCAATTTGCATTGGAGTATGTTTTTCGAGTATTTTATTACAAAAATTGATATTCTACAAAATATTTGACATGTTTTTCTTAATAGTTTGAAATTTCGCGATTATTTTGACGTAAAATTTTACAGACCATAGAGTTCAAAGACATCACATCCACTTTATGCTCATATTCACATGTAATGTTATTATTAATCGTCTTGTTTACCTAACAACAAATTGGTAAATTGGCAAGCTTCTCAATGCACGCCGCAAGAAAACGAGGTCGAAAATTGTACGCGCCACGATTCAGGCAGAGCGATATCAGCACATTTCCGTTATCGTCGCGAATCCACCACCACCAACGTCAACCCCCACGAGCTCACTGAACAAAGCATTGAGTTTATCACTCCCGCATATCTTTCATCGTCCGCCGCGTAGCACCCTCCCTGTGCGCCGGCAAACGTTTTGATGTAATATTGGGTCACTATAATCGGCCTCCAATCTGTCCCACATTCGTAGCAAAAATTTCCGAAAAACAACAAAACAGGATGTTGGAAAATAATTCAATATTATGAAAAATAGTAGTTTTTGCCGTCGACTTCGCTTTTCTTGCTTTTTGAATCCGTCAATTTTAATTTTAAAAAATGTGAAAAACTAATAATGCGTCATCTCCATCTGAATTATTTAACTATAACTGGGATTTAATTTCCATATCAGCTTTTATGCTTAATTATTCACTTTTTCAGTTATATTTTTGCATCAAAAAGCAGCCTATTTGCTTTTCCAAGTTCAAAACCATCTCTCCACCAAAATTTATCAAAATTGGTTGAGCGGTATATGCGTGAAAACGTCACAAACAAACAAAAACAATTCACCTACCTATTTTTTGTATTAGTCAGGATATTTACTTGAGAAAATTCTAAAAACACTTGGTATACATTTCACATCGAGTTATAAACCGTGTCGTTGGAGTGCGAGCATCTGCCAACAGTGTCCGAGCGTCCAGTTGTCGACCGTCCGCCGATCCCAACATCAATCAAACGCCGACCGCATTCATATCGAATCCAATCCCATCATCCCGTCACACGCGTCGCGTGGAAACCCGAGACACACGCGAGGGAACCCTCTGAAAACGTAAAACTCATTCCCCTTGCATTGCGCGCCATTCCTCCCATTCAACTTGGACACTCGCGGGTCCTTCAGTAAACCCAACCACATTTACATCGGGTATTCATAAAAAACGCATGCGAGTTGTCGTCTGCCTCGCAACCCGCAAGTTTGCAATTGGATTCATGGTCTGTCACATTCCTGCACAGATTTAACATAAAAACTTTTTCTTTCTTCGCAACACGCCGAAAAACATCTCAAACAAATACATTCGGGCAATAGTCGCATTACTATTTATGGTTTTCAATAGATTTTTTTATTCGCGCTCATAAAATTTTTACGTCTGTCGGATTCTCCGTACTTTTTTTTTGTTTCAAGTCTGGGTTTTACCTTTCGCTTTGGCTCGCATGTTCACCAAGTCTGGAGGTTATAAATTAGCCGTTGCGTTTAATTCATCATTCGCCATTTAATTTTCGGCAATTCTCGACGTTATCCTTTAGCGTTCCACGACCTGCAGCTAATTGAACAGACGAGGCGTGTGCGTGTGAACGCTGCGTGCGCAAAGCAAATCGAAAATAAAAGCCGAGGCTGAATTTATTTATTCTCGATGAAGAGCGTAAAGGATTTGCGTTTCAATTAATTTCTAAATTCAATTCAATCAACCATTTAACATGACAACATCACACAAAACACGTGTAACCAAATTAAAGAGATTAATTAATTATATTAAAATTTAAACACATTACTATAAATTTAATGCTTTGATCGGTGTAATCCCTGAGGCACTATATATTTTAAGTTCAAAACTAAAATTTGGTTATCTATTCAATAAAAAACGAGAAGAAGTAAAAAAGGTTAGCCCCTTGTCACCTGGACAGCAATAAAACTTGTTTTTACCAAAAATATTTCATTCTTTTTATTGAATGACAACGGCTTGATTTTGACAGTGAAATTTTTTGAAATAACAAGTTTGGTTTTATTTATTTAGAAGTTTTGAGCTAGTATTTCTATTTTTATTGACGCTGAGTTTGTTTTAAGCTTGTACACTGCTTGTCGCAAGCTTGCATCCAGTTTTTAGGTGGAATTTCTGTTCTGCACGGCTGCCCCACACGTCGGAGGCTATCGCACGAAGTCCGTTATAAATTATCGCTCCCGACAGGATCGTAATAAAGTTTTCTCTCGCTTATTCGTCTCCGACGGCGGGTTCTCCACCTACATCTGCTCCGTGCAAATGTGGCGCGGCCAATAATTTTCTTATCCGATCGTTTTCCACGTCTGCGCCCACCGATAATTAAAAACCCCCGCAGGACCTGTTTGTTATGTGCACAACTTTGCACTGCCAACACAACTTACAATCTACAACTTGCAAACAGAACCATCCCTTAATCTTGTACACAAAATAATATCACTGCTGTTCGAATAATTTCAGTACTGTGTAAATGCGATACAAATTAAAGGTGAACGTTTGTTTTGCTTAGTATGGTACGTGCCTGGTAATTGTATGCTTTTTGTACTGATTGTAGCAGTTGTAAGACCTGGGGGCGGTTTCGGAAAGCAAGACGTTATCTACTTTTCAGTAAGTTTCAGCGGCGCGCACGCCGCGTCAGTCAGCAAAGTTTTATTCGCGCTTTATTTCGAAAGCTTTATGCTAACGCCACTGTGCCAGGTGAACACGTAAACAGCCGCCCCCAATGCGAATGCACGGTATCGCAGACATTAACTTAATTACCATTTTCATATCATTCAACTACTTTATTTTTCTTTTGTTCAAAATGCTTTGCATTTTTTCTCACTTCTTGTGTTCTGAGTCCTTTTATTTTCTTCGCACATAAAAAAAAGAGTCTGTGGAGTTGAGTCCGTTTTTCACTTGATATTATGACGTAAAAGAAACGCCGAGGAGAAAACTTTATCGAGTGTTGGTAGAGCCGGTAAGGCCGGTCGAGACCTAGGGTGGAGGCGCCGGTCATATAATGAGGTGCGATGGATAAAACGAAAAGCCAGCGCGTTCCCACTTTTAAGAGAGTGAGCGCAGTGCTGAAATTCCAACAGCGTGCTCGCACCTCCCTAAGATGTTGCGTTCCGCGACTATAAATCCATTAGGAGATTCCGATTCCATTAAAACGAAAACACGCCCGGCGCTACCGCGCTACTGCGACTTTGGTGTAAACGACTCTGACGTCTGCGAGTGCAAATTAAAATGTAGGATGTTATTAAATTTAATTAGAACGGCCGGAATTTCATTTGCAAAGATTTTAATAGGAAGTAAACAAAGTGTTATTGTTTATATTTTAATAGGAAGTAAATTTTTGCATCTTTAATAACAATTTGCTGCGTTTGTTCTCTGCAACGCAATAGTCCATTTGTATGACATTTAATCTCCACTTCAACAAAAGGGGACGCTTACGTCCTGCATTTTATTCCATGCTGCACTCATATGTAGTGGTATTAGTGGATGTAGTCGCGTACGCGAC